AGCAGCCCGTGGTGTAAATCAAAAACACGAGTGTTTGTTTAAGAAATAAGCTCCTTGTGCATAAAATGACTTTTTTTTCTTTAAAGAAGAGGGGGAGAAAACCATCCCTGAACAACATGAGCTGGTGTTAAGCTCTGTCCCTCCACAGACACTCCCTTGTCTCTTCTGCCCTTACCTTTTTTGAAGGTGTAAATGGTTCTTTTGGTAAGAAGTTTTATGCTTTTCCTTATCAGACAAAATCCGTTTCTCTCAACAGCCTCTGCTTGTTTTTATTGCATTTTGAACAGTCAGCTCTGATTTTTATGGGCATCTTTTATTCTTGTGTTTATTAAACTTCTTCACATGGGGGTTAGAGTGAGGGATAAATTATTCTCTGGTAGTTTTTGAACTGAATAGGCCATACGGTCCTCCTCAAATGTATAACTGTGTCCTGAAGCGTGCTCTGTCCACTTTGTACATAGGTGTCTGGATTAAAAGGTTTTGAGAGCTGGGAAGCTCTTGCTGGCACTTTGTTCTTTCTCCATAATGATAAGCAAAAAGGATAAGCAATAAGCTTCCTCTATGGGAATTAGGGTAATTTCAGGTGCTTTCTTCTCTGACTGGAAATTATTTAGCAAGTATAGTTTTGTGCTTGTTCATTTCTTTTATTAGCAAGAAGATCAAGACAGCTGAATTGGTGCATCCCTGCTCTGGTGTTAAAGGGAAGGCAGTTTCGTATAGGACAATTGGGTAAGGAAGGACTGGGTTTATAGCAATGCTTTCACATGCCATTATGAATTTTTCAAATCCCTCTTAGAAGAAAGTCCCTAGCCATTCCACAGTTACCCTGCTGCTGCTCAACCCACTGGCTAGGGACAGCCAGGTTACACAGGAGACTTCTACCTGGAACTTTTTTTTAAACCCTTGGTTTTTCTGAAGGACAAGAGTTCTGAGGAAGCTGTCACATAGATTTGCTTAGAGTACCTTGGAATAGCAAATGTAGGAGTGTTATAAAGAGAGTGGACCTGGTAATGGATCTGTATAAGCCTCTGGCTCTGTAGGTTCCTATTGTTACTGTGTTTGGGGGCACAGCTGAGGGGAGGGACAGGGTGCTGATGTTTTTTTCTTTAAGCGTGTTAATATTGATTTTAGAAGCTCTGTGTTCCAACAATATAAATGCAAATGCCTGTAATTGGGAGCCTTGTGCAGAATTTCTCAACAGAAAACATGTTCAACTTCTCTGACAATGAAAGGAAAATAAAAAGCCGCTTATTTATTGGTGGTGGTTTGAATCCTGGATTTCCTTTCAAGTTACTTTGCAGTGCTAAATAAAATACCTAATTGCAGTGCTCGCAAAATTCAAATGAGTACATTTGTTCTTCTGGTAGCTCGCGGCTATTTGCAGCCTCTGGACACCCTCAGCATTATTTTAGCACATCCATAACTCCTGGTTGTGCTATAAGGAAAAGCTGGCAGTGGGGGCAGAGGGAAGGCTTAGAAGCCCCAAATGCTGCTGGCACAAATCACTGCCAAAGTTGGAACATTTACTCAGTGTTGGAGTGGATATAGGTGAGGATCTCAAGGTAACACTTGGGGATGATCAGGCTCTGATAGAAGAAAGGAAGTGTCAGTGAATCTCTGCCCTTAACTCCTTCATGCTGCTTCCCTCCACCTTTCCTGCCTGGGAGGAAGCAGGGAAGGTCCTTGAATGGTGGAGATGGAGCTGAGCATGTTGAGCTCACTGGGCTGCTGTGAAACATGAGAGAGCACCCGGCTGCCTTCCTGCATCACAGTCTCTTGGGGGGTTGTGTGTATGAGTGTCTAAGTGCTCACCGTTTCATAATAATTACTAATGAAATTCTAGATCTGTAATAACATTTCAGATATCTAAAACAAACCATATGCTTGTTAAAAAAAAAAAAAAGAGAGAGAGAGAGAAAAAAAAAGTGGAAACAGATCTACTTTAAGTCATAAATTCTTGGTAATAGAGGCCTCTTTTCTCCCCCCTTTCTGTTTATGTTTGATAGATATTTTTGTTTCTGCAGGAATGTCAACTCTTAATTTCATGATGTATCATGGGCTTAAGAAAATTGAATTTAATAAAGGCAAAAGATGAATGGCACCTTTAAAGGTCCCAACACTTGTCTTTATTAGCAGGACAAACTGCAGGGTCTCCAAACACTGCTTCTCTCCAAATGAAAGTTTAAATGAAAAGTACAGCAGTGTCACAGGTTAAATTTCATTGCAGGACTGGCTAACGTCGTTAGTGAGGAGTGGGGCTGATTTCATGGGGCTGGTATCTGTTGCCTTAGATACCAGTGGAGCAAACACTGCCAGAGACTGGAAAAATCTCCACTGTAGGAAGCGTGCAGATAAACTGCCTTTTGGGAAAGGTTCCTTACCACTTGTTTCAAAAACTGACCCAGTAAGCCCAAGGGAGTGGCAGCACTTTCTCCTAAGATGCTCTAGCTGCCTCTGGGGTTCCACCCCTGCTCCTGGCCAGGCACTTCCCACAGACCTACAGTAATTCTGAATATTGTTAAATTTTCCACATTTTTAAAGTATGGCTTTTTATTTCCTCCGTCTGTCTTAATCCGACCCTCCTGGAAGTGCTTTTTGTCTTTGGTTCTGGAAGGCGAGGACGCCTTTGTGTATCAGATCAGCAGCAGGCTGTCTTTCAGTCTGGCTTTGCATCCAGCCACTTGATGGCCCCTGAGGATGTTTGTGGTCCCTTGGGGTACATCCCAGCATTGCAGCACAGCCCTGCTCTGAAATCCAGCCGGTGTGTGTCCCTCTCTGGAAGGGGAAATGTTTGCCTTGCCTTGCCGTGAGCTTGCCTGCTTCCATGGTCACCCTCTGGGTGGGATGCAGGCCTAAGGGGCAGTGAGATGCCCCAGACCCGTTTGAAAGATGAAATGGTGTTATTCTGAGGTTAAGCCGGGCTCTATTATGGCAGCCTGTCTGTTGACTTCAAACTTTGCAGTCTGTTTTCCTTCTGAACACAAGTTTGCTGCTTTCAGAGCCTGTGGTCTGTGGTGGCCCTTTTGAGGGAAGGATCAGCTGTATCCAGCATTTCTTACTCTCTTGGGTTTCCATGGGTCCTCTTGGGTGGCTGAAGCTGCTGAGTTTGGCTGCACCACAACAGGCAAATTGGCTAATACTGAAGTGTTTGGTGTGTGCCTTCTCCTTGCCTTAGAGCCCGTGGGTCAAGTTTGCTCTCTTTCCTGGGAAAACTTGGTGACTCCCAGTGGGGTGGTATGGCAGTAGGGAAGGATGTGCCCATCCATCCACTCTGCCTCATCCAGCACAGCGTGCACAGGGAGTGGCACAGCGGACCATGAGGAAATGCTTAAGCCATGCATCCTGTGCAGCTTCACTGCTCAATGTCTACACCTGGGCATTTCCACACTGTTAACACTTTATTTGATTTTTACATTTTTTTCTAACTTTCCATCTCAGCAGCACGTGCTCTCCATGTGCCCTGGTCTGGGCTGTGCCCTGCTGCACTGGGGAGCTGCTCTGCTCTGTCTCTGGGCTCTGCCCACCATGGAAATTGGGTGTTTCTCCTGGCTATTTAAATTATCTGTTGTTTCCATTTACCCACCCAGCTTCTTGCCCTCCTGCTGCCTGGTGGGGTGGTGATGTCATCAGCTCATATGTGTAACCTCACGATAATTTCCGCCTGCAGGTCATGAGGGTTGCAACCACGCTCCAAAAAAGTGTGTTAGTTCCTCTGCAGCGGCTGCATTTTTCACATGCTAATTTTACTCACAGGAGTTGGATTTTTTTTTTCCATTTTTTATTATTTCTTATTTGTCTCTTCCAGATGTTTTCAGGCAGTTTTTTTTTTGTTGTTAAACTAATTCCATTCATGTTTTAAAAATTTATGAAAGCACTAATAAAAATGTCAAAGTGGTAAAAATGTTAGCTTTTGCTCTGCTTTGATTAAATTTTGCAAACTGTTTTTGAATATTAAAAAGCAATATTTTTTTTATTCTCTCTCCCTCTCTCTGTTTTTCTCTAGAAGTGATTTGAGAGGCTTGTTGCATGGATATCACTCAGCAGGCTCATTTGCACTCCAGAACCTTGGTGCCATGGATCTCTATTAAATAACATAGACAAATTATTCTTTAAAGACACCAAACAAATTGTCACTTCTCCTCTTACATTAAACTAGAAGGAAGAAAGGGAGTGGAGAAGGAGGGGGGTGAACACAAAGGATTTTATCGCTTTTATTCAGTGGGTGGCTTTTTTAATTTCATGTATATTTTTTAATAATTGAGAAATCCATCGCAACTGGATTTTTTTAAACTTTTTATTAACAGGTTCATGTAAATTTTTGATTGCTGATTATTCAAATAATTGAACATTCTTCTGACGAAGGAACGTTTTTATTTCCCTATCAGCATAAATTGGCTACAAAGAGGAAAATGAAGCAGGGCTTGCTACTGTGCTGTATCCCATAGGGATGAATGTGGGGGAAGCTTTCAGCTCCTCTTCCCAGTCTGGTGGAGGAGGGCAGTCCTCCTCAGCCTCTCCAGAGAAGGAGGTGCTTCATGCAGTAGTCCCTGTTGTCTGTGTGGTGGTGTCCTCTAAAAGGATGGTGGGCTGGAAGGGTTGAGACTGGTCTTGGGGAGGGCACAGCCCCTGCCATGTCCTTGCCAAACAGCTGTGAGCCCATTGTGAGCACAGCTTCATATTCTCTGGGTAGCACATGGGACTGGTGTGAGACCACCTTCCTTGGGTTCAGCTTAGGCAGTGATGTGTGCAGCTGCAGTGCTGAGCACAGAGACCTCCTTGCAGCCTGTCCCTGCAGCAATGAGCATCAGCACCATCCTCATCTGTTCTGGTGGTGTTGGATGTGCTCTATGCTCTGGCACCACCTTCCCACTTCTGCAGAGCTTTGTGTTGAGTTTATTTTTGTTTGGGACTATCAGGCCATCTTGCTTGATGGGATCATTTCCATCTTCATTTCTTGTTTGTTTTAAATGAACAGCTGCTTTTCTTTTTGCCCTATTCAGGAAATCATCGAATTCCCTATCCTGAAGCTGAATGGCAGGACGATGGAGATCGAATCCACCTTTCACATGTATGTTCAGCCTGTGGTGCATCCCCAGCTTACGCCCTTCTGTACAGAGGTAAAGTGCAAAGGTTCCCTGGTGCTCCGAGAGTCTCTCTGGGAAGCAGGTTTCCATTGCACCAGGGACTCAGGTCGCCTCTTCACGGTGCAGCTGCAAGGCAGCGTGTCATGCCAGCCTTGAGTTTATGACAAAGAGAATAATTTTTTGTTATTGCAGTAATGTGTAAAGACATCAGTTTGGATTCATAAATGACTCTAGCTGTGATCTGCTAACTAAGATAATTGTATTTACATCCAAAAAATGTCTGAATTGGGTACCACCAAGTAAACACATGTTAGCTGATGTTCAAAATCCTGTAACTTCTTTATGGGCTCTTGAAATTTTGCTGTTCTCCTCTGTGGTGGGGGAGGTTGAAGAGAGCATGGACTGAGGAAAGACAGTGCTGTGCAGATGTGTGGTTCAGAGGCACTAAATGACTCTCCTGTGGACCTGCATGTTAGGATTTGGGGAGTCCTTCAGAGTGGTAGGATAATACATGTTTGCATTTTTAAGACTTTCTTTTTGATGGTGTAATTGTGGGCCACTTGAAATGATTGCTCTTTACTTGCTTACTCTCATTGCTGAGGACAGCTGCTTTTGAGCAGTGGCCACCTTTCCCCAGATACGGAATTAAGGTGGTAAATGTGATCCCTGATGGTTCAGAGGAGTTGAGGAGCAGGGGTTTGGTTTTGTTGTTGATTTGGAGTGGCTTTTTTGTTTTGTTTTTTTTATTCAGCCAAAAAAGTTAACTGTTTTTCCAAGTGTGTTTTCCCTCCTTGCCATAATCACCAAAAGAAACTTTAGGTTCCTTTTGCTTTGAGCTTTTTTTCCTGTCAGTCCAATGGTTCAATTTTGGCCAGCACAATCACTAAAATACTGACTGTGGGAATCAGTGTATTCAAGTTCTTCATTCTGTCCCTGTCTTGTCATCAACACCATGATGTGTTTTCCTGTGCCTCTGTGGCTACAGGCTTAAGCCCGTGGAGGGCTTGTCCCACCTGTACTAGCCTGATGAAAAATGACTCCTCTGTGTTAGGTGGAGTCCCCTCCAGAACCAACCAGCCCCTTCCATATTTTCACATTGTAAAAACAAATACTTATTTTTATTCTGCTGTAACTCAAAACCATCTGAAGGTATTTTATTTAAACTTAAAAAAACCAAAAAAGACTAAGCCCAGAAAACATTATTCCCCAGAGAAGAGCTTTCAGAAACCTATAAATGTGTGAGAACAGAGGGTTATAATGGAAATGGTTTTGCAACCTTAATGCTAGAAGGCTGGGCAACTACTTTGGCTGTCCTTGTCCCCATGAGACTTGCTGGACATATGCTTGTACAAATGTGATAAATCTCACAGCCTGCACCTGATCTTTGCTAAAGATAACGTCATCTTCTAGAGCTGAGCCCAAAATGTTGGCCTTGCAAGTCACCTAAATTCTGGAGAGAAGTTGTCTCATTAACTCCCACCAAAACTCCTTTTTCTGGAAATGTCTCTGTTGCATGCTTTCCCCTGTTTCTAAAGACTGCAGCTCTGTTCTTGCACAAGAGTCTGCATGAGTTGCTTGCTGTGTGCTTGTGGTTCAGTTTTGTGAGCTGAACAGAGCCTCCAGCCTGCTGCAGTCTAGGGACATTCAGAGCTTCTCTAGATGATGACCTTGTGACCAACAGTCAGCCCATCTAATGCTCCTGTACTGCAGTGATGGTTTCTTGGTTTTCTCTTGCTCTTGGGGGTCTAGACAAGGTGTTTGTGTCTCCTGTGTGGAGCATCGAAGCAAGTGAAGCTGAGTGTGTCTGTGTGTCTGTGATGGCTGTGCTTTTGCAGGATGGGCACAGGTGTCCCAGGTCAGCATTCTGCTGCGGACTCTGCCATGAACCTCAGTCTGGCATCAAGCCCAGAGCTGGGTGAAAATGGGCGGTACTGAGGCCAGCAGGCAAAATGATTGCAGAACCCCCACCTGTGTCTATCAATGGTGCAAAAAGGCTGCACTACCAGGTTTGGCAAGTCCTCTGTTGTTAACAGCATGGATTAGGATTTAATCCTAGCTGTGATGTCACTGGCTCCTGGTCACCCCTACATTGTAGGGGTGCCCAGCATGGCCCCTGTCCTTCCTGGCTTCCAGGCAGTCCCCTGGCCTGTTACAGATCCCCAAGAGTGGGATCGTGGCTGGAGATGTGCTTGTTCCTGGGGCCTGTGTATGGAGCTGAGTTTGAAACCCTACCCTGAGAGCCACTGGTGAACCTTACTAAACAGTGGGGTGCTGCTAAGGTGCAGAAATCATCCCTGTGCCACTGGTGTAGGTTTGCTTGAGACCCCAGGGACACAGCCAGGATGTGCTCTTGCAGAGCTGCTGCCTGAACTGCTCCAGCACTTGTTATCGACTTTCTGCTGGTTTATGTTTTCTGAAAAATACTAATTTTGCTAAATGCCAGTAAAGGGCTTTGTCTAGGCACCTCTACTTACAAAGGTTGAGATTTATTGGCCTCTTTGTCTACAAAGAAAGACCAGGCCTGATTATCAGATAGTACACCAGAGACAAGTGCTTAGGTAATCAGCAAACTGTCTTGGAGTAGAAATACGATGATTTCCCAGATAAACTCTCTAGCAAAAGCACTGATGTTGACATTACATGGGAGCCTGTCTGCTGTGCTGCTGCTGATTTCCCCTCTCCCCCCTGCCTTTGCTAAGCAGTAGAGCTGCTTGGTGTAGACTCTGTGTGGAAGGGTTACTGGGGTTGTTTGACATTACTCCTTGGGTTTGGATTACCTCTTCCATCACTCTTCCTTCTTGAAGACAACAGCACAGCATGGGAAGGGTACTTGGAAGGATGGAGAGCTTGTTGCCTCCCTCAAGACATCGCTTTGCTTACCTTTTGGTGTGTCTGTGCTCTCCCCTGGCTACAGGATGTTTATCCAATTCCCCACATCAATGGCCAGGAGCTGTCTTCCAGTGCTGGCCCACTCTGAGACCTCGTCTCGTCCCCTTTCTCCAGACCTGCTTCTGTGAAAGAGCAGGTCATGAACCTTGGTTATTGTGAGGGGAGAGCTGAATACTTAGGTGGAAAAGTTGTTAAAAGCTGTTACTAGGTGTATAAAGCTCATCATGCCTTGTTGGAAGATGCAGATGATTTTTCTGGTGCCCAAGAAAGTTCTTGCCAGGAGCATAAGGAGAGGTTCCCTCTATGTGCAAGGTGCTTGTACAGATCTTTTCACAATAGTTGGCTCTCTTTTTATGACTAATTTTTATTGATTTTTTTCCTGAAGGAGTAGACAATAAAAATACAAAAAGATAAAGGCATTATAGCTTGCTTATGTTCCCAAGTACCTCATACTTCTTGGGATAACCAGTGAAATTTTACAATTCTGCAGTTTTATGTTTTATACTTTTTCAAAGCTGCAAGACCAGATAATGCTGCAGAGATCCAATGCACTAGGTTGGATGTGGTAGATGGACATAACTGATAACAAAAAGTATCAGAAAGGATGAGAGAGTAGAAATCTGGTCCAGTTTGAGCACTCTGACCTGCATTGAAATGTACCTATGGAGCAGATACGTTCCTTTGTATTCATGTGTGTGACTTCTGCTGCATGAATCTTGTGTGTGTATGCTTGGCAATGTGTCCTTGTACAGACAGGCTGGTGCTTTGCTAGCCTGGCAGGGAAGGACAGAAGGAGTTTTGGGCAAGAATAAGCAGTGACTCTTGGTGGCACCTCTGCATTTGCCTCCATATCCCTCCCTCCTCCTGATGGGAAATGTCTGGGTGAGTCCATTATACCCTGTCCTGCCATGGCATCAGGGCTGCAGTGATCCACAGATACTGTCCTGAGGGTGCCTGCAATGGTAGAAACCATTTGCACCAGTACTGGCTGAGATAGTGAAAGGTCACCTGTCATCCTTAGCACAGAAAAGACTTGGACCTCTTGGAGTAGGTTCAGAGGAGGGCCATGAAATAAGCAGAGGGATGAAACGCCTCTCCTGTGAGGAAAGGCTAGGAGCTTTGGGGCTGTTCAGCTTGGAGAAGATAATACTCCCAAGGGACCTTATTGTGACCTTTTAGTACTTAAGAGGGCCTATAAGATGGACTTTTCAACTTGGCCCCATTGTGACAGGACAAGGAATAATGGCTTTAACTAGTCAACTAAGTGTTCAGAAGAAGATTTTTACATTGAAGGTGGTGAAACAGTGGCACAGGTTGCCAGAGAGGTAACATTCAAGGTCAGGTTGGATGGGACTGTGAGCAACCTGATCTAGTTGAAGATGTCCCTGCTCACTGTGAGGGAGGTTGGACTGGATGAACTTTAAAGGTCCCTTCCAAAACAAACTATTCTATGATTCTGTGTTCCTTTCTGAACACACCTTTCAGTCACTTCCAGAGATTTGGGTTGAGCTGCTGTCTGAAAGGCAGAACCAGCACTTAGCAATAGGTGAACCTTCCACCTCTGCCAGAAGAGCACATGGAGAGAAAGATGGCAAGAAAAGCAAAAACCACACCAGTGAGTTTTAAAAACTGCTCTAAAGAGCCATGCATTCGTTCCTCAAATCTATTTGCTTCTCAGAGTATGGAAGTCTGTAGGTAGCAGCTGTTAACACAATTAAAATAGAGATTATTATTAAAACAATTTCCCAAATACAAAAGAGTGTCTATGTCCCTCCACTTTCCTAAAATTCCACTTCATAATGGCTTGATGAACTTGAGAAACACACCTAGAGGAACTCTGCATTCTTAAAATTAAAATACTTCCCCTAAAAGGTATGTATTGCCATTTCATGGAGTCACTATGAGAAAATAATCTTTCCACTTACAGTTTATTCAGTGAGTCAGGTATTTGGTATTCATTAAATGTAATTACAGTTTAATTGGAGTTTATTATAATTTCTTTTTCTGTCCTCCAAGTTTAGTGCTGTAAGCCAAGCAGCCAAAGAAACTGAGAGATAGAAACCATTTAGCTTCCTTCAGTTGCCACATACTTAATAAAGCAGAGCCCTCTGGTTTGTGAGAGGACTTATCTTGTACAAGTAGTTTGAGCTGGTCTGTGTGTAACAGTTACTCCTGGCTGATGGTGTGGCCATCAGTATCTCTCAGCTGGATGCTGTGGCTTCCAGAGGCACGGATGCTTCTAGGCTGTGCTTGACCTTTATTTTATGAAAATGTGTGAGATGTGTAGCTTCAGGAAAGTGCCATATGAAGTGAAATCCCATAGTGTGCACTTGTTCTAATAATGATTTTTTTAATTACTTGGGTGCATTGATGGCAAGCTACTGAACTCCAATATTCAATATGTTAAAAGACAGTTTTGTCAGTTGGAAGGCAGACAGAAAAATTATCAGTTTTCCATGTGCCTCAAGCTCTCCTGGGCAGACACAGGCAGAGGCCTGTGAGACTGCATCTTTCAATGCATGTGTTTAGCTTTGAGCAGCTGGACAGTCTAGGAGCCGTCAGTAGGAGTATCTGTTGGCAGGACCTCTTCTGAGGAACCTACTGGAAAACAGACTAGACAGGGCTCTGGAAGAAAGTGCTTTTCTTCAGATTTCATTCCATTATTTTGAATACAATTTTGAACAGCTGAGGAATGCTGTGATGGACTATGGGAACATGGACATGCTGTCTGCCCAGCTCAGGGGAGGATGACTGGGTCCACTCCAGGTCTCACTTGCCAATACTTCTCTGTTTGGTTCATCTGACACTGAAATTGTGGTGTCACTGTGACAGCAGAGGAATGTCCAGAGACCTTGGTAGTCACCACTGCCTGTGTACATCAAGGCTACACCAAAACTGCTGAAGGGCATGTTGAAAAAGGGCATCATGCTGGTGTATGATACTGGTCCCCAAATGGATCCTGCCATGCTGAGAATTTGCAGTTTTGTGGTGTGGGTAGGAACTCCACTACATTTCTGTGTTTGGGATAGAGCTGTGCCCTTGCCTGTGGCTGGGGAGCAAGCAGGGTCACTCTGCTGTGGCTGGTTCCTCATCATCACCCCTGTGGGTCACAGGAGCATGTTTTGGTTGCAGAAAGATGGACAGGAGAGTAGACCTCTCTAATGATCTTTTGAGTGCCGCTCTGGTGACTGCTTTCCGTTTGTCTCTGTTTCAGCTGACTGGGATTATTCAAGGCATGGTGGATGGGCAGCCAAGCCTCCAGCAAGTGCTTGAGGTAAGCAGAGTAACCTTTAGTTCTCAAACTCTGACCTCTGGTCTTGTAGTCCCCTCTTCATCTCTTTCCCTGCACCCTCCCCTTGCTGAGAATCGAACCGCGTAATTTGACTATGATTACAGCTTCATTAGAATAACATTTGCTGTCACACTGGTGACACGCTGCTGAGATTATTGAACCATTGATCTGTCATCTCCAGCTGTTCATGTCAAGGGTGCTGACAAGATATCCAAACTGCTGCCAGTAGATAGGAGAAGAGGCGATTCTTTCTTAAGCCAGTTTTAAAGCACCAAGACGTTGCTCAAGACCACTGCTCCTGGAGATTCTGCTTTCATTTCTTTTCCCCTCTCTCAGCACTTTATTAAATTATTTTTCTACCTATTTAAATGCTCAATAATACATGTAGTATAGAAAGAAAAGGCCTCTGAAATCTAATCTAAAGGATGTGTGAATGCAGATACAGCCCTAATAATACCTTCTGCTTAATGTGGAATTCCTGGAGCATTTAAGGCTTAATTAACTTGGAAGTATTTCTCCATCAATAGCTTTTGTTGGTAGTCAGATAGGGAAGGAAACCTCTTCAAGCAGAGCCTACTTGGGCTGCAGGTTGGTGTTTGATGCGTCATCTCTGTCAGGATTTCCACTGCTGTGTAACCTAATTGTTCCTAATCAGAATAATTGCAACAATTGTTTATCTGAGGAAATCAAATTAAAGGTGTTAAAATCCTCCATGGAGACAGCATTTGATGGGCACTCACATCAGGGAGTTTAGAAAGGTTACCACTGCTGTCCCCAACTCCAGGCAGGCTCATGTGAGGCTGGCTGGGAGATCGTGCCAGCCAAAGGGAGTGTGGCTAAGAGGCTGGATGCTGCTTTTCTGGAGAGTTTTACTCAGGGAGATGTTGTACAGTCACAGGAAGAAGCATTGACCCCTGGCAGGAAAGGCTGTGTTGGTGACATGAGACTGAAGATGGTGCTCTGCAGAGGAGGTGTCTCACATCCGTGCAAACCCCCAGCTCTCCAGAGAGTGTACAGCAGGCTTGCTTGTCCATAAACACATGGATGCATGAGCCTGTTTCCCCCAGGAGGGAGAGCCCTCTTTGCCTGGATGGGTGAATGTAGATTGCCACTGGAGTATTCCAGAAAATGGTTCATTCTGTTTCTATGGAAGCTTCTTAGAGTGTGGAAACACTTATGTAGATTTTTTTTTTTATTTGGACAGAAAAGGTGTTCATACAGCAGCATGTTTCTAGGTTAAAATGAGATTCAGGTCAGGCAGCTTCTGAGGCAGGCTGGTTTGCTCAGGAATGAAAGGTGTCAAGCAAGGGAAAAGAGGAGGAATTTCTGTTGCTCAAGCATTGAAAATGCTGCTAATGAGGTTGCATAATAACAGTTGATTGCCTGCCACTGCAAGATTTTGGGCACATCATCTGCTAGTTGTAGCTGAACTGAGTGTGTATGCAGGGCTTCTGTCTGTGCAGGGCTTCTAGTCTAGGTTAGTTCCTTAATCCCTGAGGTGGCTTGCATCCTCCAGGTTAACACGGCCCATTTTTTAAAAGGACCCAGAATGTCTGTCCCTCTGGGAATTGATCAGGAATAGTGGATCCTCTTTAAATCCACGCTACCCTGAACAAGCACTTCTTCAGAACTGTAAGAAGGAAAGAGGGATCCAGCCTGGAGAGGAAGGGGACACCTGGCTTTGCTTGTTACTGCCACCCAGCGCCTGTGTGTGCCCAGCCCTTCCATTTTTCCCCCTTCCCATATCCCCCTGCTGCTATATGAATTGGTGTATGTGAGAAATGCTGTAGGGGAGGGATGCCATCTCAAAATACCTGTCTTTTCTCCTCACTGGAGGGGACAAAAGTTATGTTTCCTATGAGCCTCTTTGGTACAGGGAGAGGAGAAATGCCAGGTAACAGCACGGTTGTGTCGTCCCGTTAACGCTGCACAACTTTCATCCCTCCACAAGCAGAGCTGCTGCGGTGTCTGATAAGATCATCTCTCCTCTGGTTGCCTGATGTCTCCTATCAGAAATCTTCAAAGGTCCAAACGTGCTGTTGTTGAGATGGCAAGCAAAGAGAGAAGAGAGAGAGGGAGAGGTTGGATAAGATCACAATTTTCTTCTCTCTTGATTGCAAGCAGCTTATCTGAGTTTAACTCTTGTGGCTCGGCCTGTCTCTGCAAAACTCATCCTCTTTTCTTGCCTTCCTTTCAGAGGGTTGACGAGTGGATGGCAAAGGAAGGACTCTTAGATCCCAGCGTCAAGTCGATTTTTGTGACCTGTGGAGACTGGGATTTGAAAGTGATGTGAGTATGGGAGGGGAGGGAGATTTTCCTGGGCTTTATTGCTCCATTCTTGCTTGTAGTGCATATGTCTTTGTCCTTGCAAGCCTCCAACTGTCCCTACTTATTGTTTCTTAGGGAAATTGTTGTTTGCCATGCATAACTGGGAGAGGAAAGTTGTTTCAGAAGATGGGTGCTGGGCATGGTGCAAGATCACTGCCTAGGATATTCCCTGTAGCAAATGAAGCCTTTCAGGACCCCAAGAAAAGTTTAAACTGGAGCTTTGGGATGTTTTGCCTTTTACCCAATATACTTTCCAAAGGGATGAATATTTCTGAGTGCATATGTGGATGATCAAGTAATGATCCTTACCTGACTTCCTGCATTTAAGGGTTTTTCTGTCATCTTGGCACAGTAATTCAATGTGAATCACAGAGTAGTCTTTGGAACAGAACACAAGCAGAATAGAAGCCAGGTCTGGCATGCTCCAGTGGTGTTCTTATCGTTAAGGTCCTCTTCATCAGCTGGGTGAATATCTGGCAAGTACCAGGTGGGGGCCTGCACTGGGATCTGCAAATGTTAGTTTATGTGCATGTTTTGTTAGAAAAATAGCTAGGCCACAACCTAAAAATGTTATTGTAAGAATGGAGCTAAATGTCCAAAAATTAAATTAGTTCAATCTCCAAAGTGTTTGCAGATCAGTGTCCTATAGAGCTGAATTCCTTTGGATTAGTATAATCTTGCTTCAACTTTCATTTGCCTGTAGTGCTGGATAAAGATTCCTGTTGTTATCACAGCAGTAAAGCATGGGCTTGACACATCCCATCCTAAACTGACAGCCACAACTCGTTAGTAGTGTTACTTGGTTCTCACTGTGACATTGGTTTCCCCAAGCTGGAAGCCTAAATAAACTGCACATAGTCTAGGAGCAATCAGCACCAGTTCTTCCCTGACAAGTAGTCTTTGCAGAGTGGCAGCTCCTTGCCTTTTCTTTGTGTAATTAGTGAAACATGAAATATGGGGTCCAAAGCTCAGCACAAGCACTAGTGGTACTGAGAAATTGCCTCCAGACAGAGACAGAGGGGTGGTATTTGAATTTTATAGTCAGAATCTTGGTCTTTGCTCAGGCCGTGTCCAGAGCTCATATATATTGCAAGTTCTTGTGTTAGTTGCTTAAATTAGGAATGAGTTATTTTTCATTATATATAATGTTTAAGTGTCTGTTAGAGACCAGCACAGTTGCTGCACTAAACTTTGGTTTCTCATGTATTCTGTTTTCTCTGTTCTTTACTCCTGTATTGCTGTTGTGAGTCCAATTTACCACTTTGTTGATGGTTCTGAGAAACAGTTGTCTTTGCTCCAAGCCCATCTTTCCATTGCTTTTACAGTGGGCTGACAAGATTCCCAGGTAATGATATCCTAACTTGGTGTTCATATGGAAAGAGCAACCTGGATGTGTTGGGTGGCTTTTTTTTTTTTTCCTTTTTTCTTCAGAGCTCTACAGCGGGCAAATAGAGGTAAAGATGACTCCCATTAGTGGTGGGCCATAGGTGTTGTGAGGTGAGCTGGCTCAGAGGGACGCGCTGTTCTGGAGTGGAGATACACTATTCACCGTTTGCAGTGGTCTCTCGCATGGATTGTCCCTCACTACTCAGCTGGAAAAGAAGACTCCACTCCTGGCCATGAGGTTGTTGAGAGTGGTTCATTTCTCCCTCTTCCTTTTAAGTTTTTTTTTTTAAACCATTAACTTCAGAATTCAATCCTGAAGCGTCTTCAGGGCAAAGCAGAAAATGCATTCTGTGTTTCCAAGCACATGGATAGCAGGAGTCTGGCTGCAGCCGCCTGGTGAGTAGCACATCACGCTGCTCCGTCGCCGATTGGGTGCTGCAGCGTGTAGCGTCACATCTGATTAGCACCATGCCAGTGGATGAGGCTGGAGTGAGGACTCCCTGCCAGCTCTGACTTGTCTCATTTCCCATTACTTTTATCCGTCACCACGAATGCCGAGTCTCCCTCCTGAACTAATTAAGTTTGCGTGTGTTTAGACACATTGCCAAATAGGGTTTAGCAAAGCAGAACTGAGCATCTCTTTTTAAAGAGAGAAAGCGGAGAGCTGAAACAAGGCTGCTCAGACAGGGAGGCAGAGCCTCAGAGACGTGGAACATCTGTGAGGTATTCCAGGGAACCCTCCATGCTTCCCTACAAGACCTGTGGTGTAGCTGATGCCCTTTGCTACCACGTTGAGACCACACGCTGGTCTCACAAAAGGCAGCAGGAAGGGAGGTGGTGCTGTTTGTCCACTTTTGGAGGAGTGTTGTTGGAACATTGCATGGTAGAAACCTGGCTGGGTTCCAGAGGAATTGAGGACACTGAGGTGAGTGCAACACTTCCTGGCTTAAGAGCCACCACTTGTGACAAGTTTACTCCTAACTCTGCTCTTTCTTTTCTCAGCTTCCTTAGTAATGACAGCTGCTTGCATAGCTGCAGTCCTCTTACCCAGATCTTGAGTGGTTTGGAGTTCCTGTCCTCCGTTGTCCTTAGCTTGGCTGGTAAACCATGCAGCTTTGTTCCTGGCTTCTCCAGCAGTGATCTGGGCATTTAGTTTGGCTTCTGTCTGCATGTGCTGTTCTAGAGCTGAGATATGGTGTCTTCTGAACTGGTCTGTCTACTGTGAGGGCTTCCAGTAGGTGCCAGTGGTAGGAGCCAGGGAGGCACAGTGGGATGAGCAAGCTGGATGTGGGGAAGTGGCAGTAACAAGGAGGAGGAATCTTCAAGCCTGTCAGTGTTGGATATAGGGATAAGTTAGGGAAATAGCCCTGCCTAAGCCAGGAGTTGCAATGTGTGTAGCTCACACAAAAGCACCAGAGAAATAGTGATTGTCAGTGTACTGCTCTCTGCTGATGGTGTCTGGCACTGCTGAGTCTGCAGGATTCAAGATGTAATATCAGCTGCTAAAGGATCAGTAAAGCTTCTGCTTGGCTCAGGGATCTTCAGGAAATGAGGCTACAGACTTGATTGCTCTTGAGCACTTGGAGCCTCCTTGGAAGACACAGAACTATGTGTCTGTTTTCCCTCAGACAACAGGGAGCACTAGTCACAAGGAGCTGGGTGCCCAGAACACCAAGCATCTGAGAAGGGCTTATGGAGATTTAGCATGAGTCAAGGTCCTCGGCCATGCTGCCAAAGGCTTTGTTGTGGATGTGGTGCACCACCAGAAGTGCACCTGTTGGAGGGATTTGGTTGCTGCCGGAGAGAGTCTGTTGTGTGAGAGGGCTCCTAAATGAAGCGCTGATCCTCTACTGGCTGTGCTTGGATCAACCTGCTTTCAGTTCTTGGTGTGTGTGTGTGAATCAGGCTGGAGTTGGGGAGGCAGCAGCTCTCCTGCCAGCCCTCCCCTTCCCTCTTGTTAAGATGCAATTTCTTTAATGAGGAAAACCTCTTGAGTAGGAACATCACCTTTCTTGAAGGCTTGTCCTGACAAGGCAGTTCAAGCCGACAGAGTCGCATATCAACTTCAGCAAATATCAGTCACTCATTACAGAGACTCTGCTCCCCCCCCACCCCCCAGCAACACCCCTCATTCCCAGACAAGGGAATGAATCACACTTCTGCTCTTGAATACATCATGACAAGTCATGGTTCTAATGAGAGAGGGCCATTCATTCTGGGTGGAAAGTTCCCTGTGTCGGCTCAGAAATGTTATTAATTAAAGAGAGCTACCTGAAGCAAAAGATGAAAGGAGCACCAGACCTGCCAAGCTAAAATATGAGTGGGGATACAGCCTCGTTAGACACACGGTCCTCAGGCCTCTGCATGCTCAGTGGGAGGATTCCTTTAGCCTGTAGCAAGGAGCTATAGTCCAAGTTTAACAGCTCCAGGGATGGATTCAGATACCTGATGTTGTCTGCTTTAGTGCTTGGACCTCATTCTGCACCTAGGTTGGAACTGACACTAGTCATTAAGCAAATAGCATTGATGTGGCATTGGGTGGTGAGGGTAATGTGCCTCTGAAGGGCTGAGGGAGCTGCTGACTGCAGGAGACGGGTTTAGTGGAAAAGAGGGTACTTAGTATCTGCCACAGTTGAGCCCTTGTAATATAAGCTCTTTAGTGTAGTTTATCTCTGCTGAAATGTCAAATTGCTTTCCCCTGTGTGTGGAACCAGTTTGTGGGCTCTTAAACACAATGTGAATTAATCTTGGCAACAAAAGAGGTATTTTTACCATGTGTTCATAGATACAGAGTTGAAGTACGGTGAGGTTAAGTGAGATGCCTGTGGCTGTGCAGGCAGGCAGAGGCAGAGCTGAAGTCTTATGTCCCAGGTCTCAGACCTGCACCATAATGTCAGAAGCATCTGTTAATCCTTCTCCTTCCAGATTTGGATTGTTCTGTAAATGCACTGAGCATAGCCAAAAGACATGTAGGCTTTGGTCTATATAACTCTGACATGAAGATGCTTTAATTGCACTTACTGTGGCTGATCAGAACATGCTAATTTATGTCTTCACAGGAAACTACTGCTCAGAAGTTTTTTATTTTCTTAAATAAGTGTTAAAAGGCAAGTACTCTCTAATATAGTGATAAAACATAGTGAAGTGTCTTGAAATGTTTATAGCCCTTGGTGCTCTTCCTAGGTTGGATATTAGTAAATTCTGAGCAGTAAATTATACCATTGCTTAATTTTGTGTTACTGTTTTAATTCTTTCTTGCAAGTTACACAGGCTGGGAGGATGCTTGTCTTCTCTGACCAGCTCCAAATGTGGTGGTGGGTTGCTCTTTCCAGGTTTCTGTCCTGGACTTTTTTGACATCAGAATAAGGTCATGCATGGAAAAGAATTGTTGGTGTTAGTGTCCTCTGTACATGCTGTTCTTTATCCCAGGACCAGGAGGGAGTTGGTAGCCTCTGCCTCAGAGAGAAATTGCAGATGGCCACTGACTGGGGTGAGTGGGAACGCTTGGGTAGTCATGAGGAAGGGCAGGAGAAGGTGTGGGGTGGGCTGGCTGTGTGGCAGCAGGGCAAGAGGTA